AACAACAAAGTTTTACTTTATCAGCTCAGAGATATTGGTCATTATAATGCATATCAATTACTGCTTTTTCCTGTTAAACTCAATATAAAGAAAAGGAACATTAGAGTCAACTTATTATATAATGTTAGAGCATTAATTCAAAAAGAACTGAAACTAATACAAAAAAGCAGTATGAAATTTATTTATAAAATGTTGACAGGCTTATGATTTTTTCAATCAGAATAATTCACTTTTTCTTTTCTGCCTCAAGTAATATTTTATACTGTACATGCATGTTGTTTTCGTTTAATAAAAATAATTTTGTTTCATTTTTTGTTGGTTGAAATTTATTGTGGAATCTAGAATGGCTATACTAATGGTCAGTCAGTACGTTAAAACGTTATAATGATTTTTTTAAAGCAATGAATCNTACTGTACATGCATGCTGTTTTCGTTTAATAAAAATAATTTTGTTTCATTTTTTGTTGGTTGAAATTTATTGTGGAATCTAGAATGGCTATACTAATGGTCAGTCAGTACGTTAAAAAGTTATAATGATTTTTTTAAAGCAATGAATCCAGTTCTATTGTTTTGAAAAAATTGAAAAGAACGCTGTGCCACCGGTAAAAGACTCCAAACCAGGATAACACCAGCCAAAGAGTATGTTCCTCCTTTTTAAATCGTGTACAGAAAAAAAATCAAAAGTACAATTTTTAGCAGTGAGGAAACCTAATTATTAAAAAACTAGGAGGCTTCGCCCCCTGCTTGCTGGCACTCGCCAACCCTCGGAACTGCTTTAGCAGTAATCGTATCGAATTCTCTTAAACGCAACGCATCGTAAGTTCTTTAATGTAATATTATAAACATAAATAGAACATAAAAAATAATTGCCAGTTTCACAAACGCAAAAGATAATGTTAATACAAAATAAAATAAAGAAAACATGACGGAATTGACAAACTTAATGTGAATGGCAACATACTCCCGCCTTTGTATTGCTGGCACTTTTGCTCTGAAACAATACAAAAAACATAATGCTGTAACACTGCAAGAAATTAAAAGTTATGAATAGTTCACAAGTTCATTCGTTTCACTGGTACGATTCGACGTCCACATCGAGTTGTTCTTGCTTCCTCTTGAATATCGGCATTACCAAGTTTTGGTTCTGGAGTTTTCAATTCTTCCAGAATATGTGCAATACTAGGCTCATGATCAGGCTTTGTTCTGGTTTCCTGGTAATCTTCATTCATGTTGTCAATGGAACTAAGTTCCAAAGGATAAATTCGTTGAAGGGGTCTTATGATTTCACCACTGGCTACCCTTAATTTAGCCACCCGTTGAACATTATCCTTGCCAGGAAACAGTTCAATTACTCTAGCCAAAGGCCAATTCATTCGGTTTGGATTTTGTGACTCAACTAGAACAATTTCTCCCGGAGTAATAGCCTTTCTCTTTGAAGCTGTCTTATGACTTCTTACCAATTCGCCAAGATATTCCCTATAGAAACGCTTTCGTAAATTTAGTCGTAAACTGTGAAGGTAACGCACTCGTTTCAAAAAATGCTGAGAGTCGATTAAATCTAGATCGAAAGTTTCACGTTCTTTTGAGTCTTGAATGAAGTGAGCAGGCGTAAGGGGTTTCAATTCGTTGGGGTCGTCTGACAAATATGTTAATGGTCTCGCATTTATAGTCGTAAAGCAAAGTCAACATTTCTTCGTAGGTGACACAAGCTCTGCTCAAACATTTTCGAAGGAGTTCCTTAACGCAGCGAACCATTCGTTCCCAAAAACCACCATACCATGGAGATGATGGTGGGCTAAACAACCACTTAACTTTCTGTAGAGAACACTCTGTTTGTATGAAATCCCAATCTAAATATTTTAACGCATTTGCTGTACCTACGAAATTCGTACCATTATCTGTATAAAGAGTAGAGCATCTTCCTCTCCTGGCCCAAAATCTTCGTAAGGCTTGAATAAATGATTCTGTGGAGAGAGATGAAACTAGCTCCAGGTGGACTGCTCGATATACTGCACACGTGAAAAGCCTTGTTTCCACCACGTAAGAAAAGAGGACCAGCTAGATCTGCGCCAGTTATCTGAAATGCTGAGACTCGGTTTACTCTGTCAGGTGGTAAAGAAGCTGGCTCAGTATTAACATTTCTAGAAGTCAGTTTTTTGCATGGTACACATTGTCGCAAAACGGCTCTTACAACTCTCCGAATCTTTCTCTTAACTGTGCTAGTGTCGTTAATACACCAGCATGCATCAAAGATTTATGAGTATGCAAAATCAGTCTTTCTAGAAGAGGATGGTCTGGTAAAACTATAGGATATGTGAAGTCCTCCGGATCTTGACTGAGGATAAGTCTTGTTTGAACTTTCAAAATTTCATTTTCTACGAAGAATTGTATTGTATCCTTGTACTTCTCACGTATGTCAGAAGGCCATTCATACTGTATGATTTTTTAAGAGTGTTTTCTGCACATTCAATCTCTTCACATGAGATCGCACCAGTCAACTTACAAGAGTTTTTCTTAATGCTGTTACAAACTCTCAGAACATAAGCAGTCATTCTAAGAATCCTTGTGTAACTCGAAAAGTATAAAAATCTTTGTCCAAATTTCTCTTCGTTTTCAGCTGCTAAATTTGTTATCACTGTCTTACGTCGCTCCAGAAAAGCTTCATCCGGAACGGATATCTCAGACAATGGCCAAGATTTTGCTTCTTCGTATAACCAGCTGGGACCCTCCCACCACTGACTTTGCAATAGATCTGCCCAGTCGCAAAAGCGAGTAGCAAAGTCGGCAGGGTAGACTTCTCCAGGTACATGTTTCCAGTCATCTATATTGGTCAATTCTCTGATTTCTTTCACTCGATTTCCAACGAATGTATTCTATGGCTCCTTTCTCGTAATCCAGCTCAAAACTATCATTGAGTCAGTCCAAAAAAGGGTTCTAGAGGAAATGGGCAGAACAGAACTTAGAGTTACGGCTAAACGAGCTCTGAGGGCGGCTCCCAGCAATTCAAGTCTTGGGATGGTTGGTTTTTGCATTGGAGCAAGTCGAGCTTTAGCAGCTATTAATTTGACTGTCACTTGACCTCGGTATTCACATCGCAAGAAAGCACAAGTAGCTTATGCAAAAGAAGATGCATCTGAAAATATGCAGTTCGACATTATCGTAAATTACAGGCAACATTCTTCGAGGAATGGTACATTCAGGTATGAGAGCAGTGGTTTTCTCCCACCGTCTGTACTTCTGCTCAAGTAGTGCTGATAATGCATCCTCCCAACTTAGTTTCTCTCTCCACGCTTCCTGCAAAAGGAATTTGGGCAACAATAGCGCTGGAGCAGTAAAGCCTATTGGATCGTAAATACTGTTGATGATAGAAAGAAGTAAACGTTTCTTAACTGCCTTTTCATTGACGGTAACTAAATTTAACGGCATCTTACATGAAAGTTNATTTCATTTTGAATTTCATTCAAACGAGAAAATTTATCTTGCAATTGCGACCTTAGTACTTTTTGCAACTCCATATTTTGCAAACTTAATGCAACTAAGTTAACCATTTTCTTTTTTCTTCCTAGACCTAAAATTGTCCAACCTAGTAATTCTATGGCTGAAACTCCCGATCTTAACACTTCTATTTTTCCAGTCAGAATTCTTACAAGTACATCAGCTCCTAGAAGAACTCTTATAGGGGGCGTATCTTTTCCAACATCTGTTATTTCTATTCCTCGAGAAGCTAGGTCAGCAAGTAAACTTCTATCCTGTATCCTTGGTAGCTCTGAGCAAATTTTTGCTTGGTCAAGAAGAGATATTGAGGTCGTATATTTGCGATTTAAACTTTCAACAGTTACGATATATCTCTTATGCTCTGAAGCAGGAGAAGTTCCCCCACCAAACAGTCCTTGAGAAAACACTTCGCTTCCAGTGGGAGAAAGTTTCAGTTCTTCAGCCAAACTCTTTTCAATATAGGAACGCTGTGACCCATCATCCATTAGTGCACGAACACAGACTTCCTTGTCTCTGTTTCGTAGTCTGATCGTAATTGTTTTGAGATATATTTCACGTTCAGAAGGACGATTCGTGAACAATATTTCTGTTGCTTTCTGTTCATCACCTGCTATTTTGTCCTTAGATGAAGAATTAATTCCTTTACGTAGATCCGGGCAAAGTATTGTGTAATGCCTCCGTTTAAAAACTAAGCATCTTACATTACTGTGACATCTTTTTGCCATGTGACCAGATTTGAGGCAAACAAGACAGCATCTCTTTTGTATAACTCGTGATTTTCTGTCCTCATAACTCATTTCTGCTATTTTCTGACAGTCTTGACTTGGATGTGATCGGTCACAGAAAGTACAATTGTTTTTTCCTACTGAGGTGTTGGCGATCAGTGTAGTAGCAGTAGGTTCATCTGTTTGGATCGATTTGTGGTAATCTTTTCGTTTCTCGCCACTTCCCTTATCTCTACCAAACCCTTCACGAGCTAAACTGATCATTTCTTCAGGTTCGACCTCATGTCTCAAAAAACACATT